ATGCCGAACCTGGGGACCTCGTGCCTCATTTCTGCAAAACAGATAAGGCCCTTGCCCCTTCCAGATTCAGCTAATTTCACGCTAATGATCAACATATTGGCATGTTTTTCTCCAAATGATGCACAGATCATGATTACGTCCCTTGGGATTATTAAAATCCCGGCGGACTTTGGACAAGGTTCGTCTTACTGAGTTATTGCGGACAGTGTTCTAACTCATACTAGGTTTAGACATGATGCATACACAACTGATTTTAGAATGGGGTTTCTAGAAGAGTCTAGATTGGTACCCTCAAGCGGACATCTTGAGAGGGAAAGGCACGGAACAGTCGATTGCACCACTGATCGACTAGTGTTACCGTAAATAAGCCTTTCCAAATTTAAAGGGTGATTTTAGGAAGAGCGTGGACACTCATCAAGTGTCGCTATGGTATTAATACGCACGAGTGGAATATGATGCTGAGCTTGCTTTATGCAAAGACAAAATAACACATTGTCAAGTATTTTCACATTGGAAGCAGTAAATGCAGTATTGAATGGAACGTAAGACATAAAAGAAACGAAAACAAGGAAGAAGTTAGTGCGCGTAATGAGAGAATAAAGCAAATAAAGGGATAAGGATTGGGGAAAGGCATGGTATAGCAAAATATAAAATAAAAAAAAAGTTTGGAATGAATGAACATGATTAGGAAATAAGGGGAAACACACGTTGTAATCAAATTAGACAAGAGTTGCATATGGATTCATATAAGAGGGAAATAGGGGAAATGGATATGCATGTAGCAATAAAGAGGGAAGAAATGGAAGCGGGAAGTTCAAATAATAACAAAGATATGCTTATCAGGGAAGACTAATTCACAAAAATCAAGTTCGTTTATGGTAAGAGCCTAAAGATACTCCCCAGCAGAGTCGTCATGCTGTCACGCCTCTTTTTCTCGTGAAAGCGGGTTTCGACATTTGACAACTCCTTTTAAGAGAGTAGGGAAAAGGAATTGGTTGTTAGAGTCTCCACCTAACGGATTAAGGTGCGTTAGGGCACCTATAGCAAATAACTCAGATTATACCAGTTTGCATCACCAGAGATCGGGTAAGGGCTCAAATTACCTTGAGGGGAAGGTGTTAGGCACCCCTCGAGGTCCACAACGGTGGGTCCCGGCCGAACTTAAATTATGCGAATTAGTCTAAGGAAGCGAATAAACTATTTAATAAGGATGGGGGATCCTAAATTTTTTAGCCTATAAGATCACCCCGTGCAACATAAATAATACTTCGTAACACCCCCAAGACGGGGTGTTACTCATATTATCCAGCGGGCACAGACTATCATCTTCTGCTACCCCATTACTATCTTTAAGTTGTTACCAAAAGCGCACTAGTAGATTCTAAATTGTACCCTATGCGTGCACTACCCGTCCCATGCCTATGGTCTAGGAGGCGTTGGACCTCTATTTAGGTAGTACTAGACTTCAACTCAAGCTGCTCAAAATGATAAAACTAATCGACATGCAAAACAAGTTGGACTTCATATAAAAGCAGTTAAGGGCTCAAGTTAGCCTCCACACATTGCCAACGAATGCACGCGAACACATTCAACATTTTTACAGTTGCGGATTTTGGACTAATTAAAGTTATTGAATCCTACAGGCATTATTTCTATGTGGTTCTGGATTCTAATCATACAGGCAGTTATGCAAAGTAAACCAATAGGCATGCTATCTAGGTGATTTACTCAGTGTTAGGCAGTGACAAGCAACGAGATATATTCAGAATTACTCAGTTATTCCTATAGGCATGCTTTCTAATGGTGTTCAATGAGGCACTGTTTAAAGCTTAGTTTTAGCGCTTAACGCAGATGGTAATTGCCCTATAGACATGATTCCTACCTTTAGTGATTGAAAGGTATGAAAGCCTGTTTAATGCTAAAAAATAGTCCTAAATTACACAGAGTTAGGCAGATTTCATTAATCGATTCAAACTAAGTTCAACATGTCTCAAATGCAGGTAGTAGCATCTAGTAATACATTAAGCAAGTAACCATAATAAAATAACAAAGGATTCAGTAACTCACAAGTTAAGATGAAACATGGAAGAAAGGAATCCAACAATATAGCAAATATCACCAAACAGAAGCAAAGACTTGAAGATTTTTGGCCTTCGATTTCATCCGGCCAGGAATCAAAACACAGAATAAGATTGCTCAAGAGAGTAAGAGTTCACAACTTTTGTTTAGAATAGTGAAAAGATTTTCGAATTCATAATCTCATTTTTTTCAAAAGGGAGTGGGGAGGGGTTTATGTAGTGATAGAAATCAGCATATAAATATGGAAACAAATCAGTAACATGCAAGGAAATATTTACAGAATCAGTAATAGGCAATTTAGGGCATAAATTAAGGGATTCAGTGAGTTAACTGAGAATTACTCATAACATAATAAAATCGTTCAGAATATTAAGGCAAGTATTAAAGGAAACATAGCTAATACCCAAACAAGGAAATTATTCGGAATATCTAAGCAAATAATACCAGACAAACTTATTCAGCATAACAGGGAAAATATAAAGAGAAGGTAATAGAACATAAAAATGAAAGATTCACTTGAATCGGTAAGAAAAGGGAAAGAAAATTCAAACCCTAGTTTCTAAGGAAAGTATGAAATCAATAAAAAGAAAATACAAAATAAAATAAGGTAAAAAAACACACGAGATTAGATGAATAGGAGCAGAATAGTGTTAGAAATCAGAAAATCGGACCTATTTAGGTCCGATTGAAAAAGTTTGAAAACCCTAATTTGGGGTAAGTAAGAATCAAAGAAGATATGAACATGCTCGTTACTCACAAAGACTCATAGATGAAAATAGAAGGAATAGCCACAGAAATCAGAGAGTTGAGCCGATTTAGTTCGATTTTGGCATGATTTGCTTGCCATGTTAGGCAAGCAACTAAATAGGGTCATAGACGAGTAGCCAGTTATAGGAGATAACCAATAAGGTAAGGGAATCGTTGATGGATTTCATCTCTAGGGAAATGGGGTTACGGCGCTAGGGTTTCAGAAGAGGAGAAGGAGAGAGCGTTCAGGGGCGACGGGGTTTAGGGAACGAGGGATTAGGGTAGAGAGGAAGGATATAAGGGAAGGGGGCATTTAGTTGTGGGCCGTTGATCAATTTTGATCAACGGTCAGGATTTAGGCGGGTTGGGGTTGGTTTTAATGAATGGGTATGGGTAATTGGGTTATTTGATTTGGGCTGGCGGACTGGGTTAGGCATTTTAGGTGTTGGGCTGGGTAATTTGGGCTGGTTTGGTTAGCCTAGGTATTGGGTCCGAAATTAATTAGAATTGGGGCCAGATTTTAAATATCCAAATTTAACCAATAAATAATTTGTAAAAATAATAGATAAATAACACAAATATTATTTGTGCATAAAAATAAATAAAAATAATTATTTAAAATTATAAAAATATAAAAGGTTAGTTTTTACATAAATAAATAATTATAAGTACTTATGGGCTATTATTGCAAAATGTGCAATTTAGCTTTAAAAAATGCAAATGTAATTACAAAAATGCACTGAAAGTATTTAAAACCTCATATTGACATAAATGATATATTTAGATGATTGAATCATCAAAAAATAATGATAATGCATGTGCATTATTTTGAAAGTATATATGTATATTTAAAAAATATGAGGGAAAAATTAGGTATCAACACTAACGAAAGGCCCCATGAAATCGATTCCCCGTACATCAAACACTTTTACCTCCTAAATTGGGTTCATAGGCATCTCATGTCGGCGGGAAATATTCCCGGTTCGTTGGAATTCATCATAACCCTTTATCCAAAAATGTGCATCTTTGAACAATGTTGGCCAGTAGAAGCCCGGCTCCAAGACTTTTGCAGATGTCCTTACTCCCCCGAAGTGCCCACCATATGGTAACGCATGACATGCTTGCAAAATAGAAGACTGGTCTATCTCGGGGATACATCTCCGGATCATGTTATCAATACAAATCTTGAACAGATAAGGTTCATCCCAATAATGCATGCGACAATCACGAAAGAAATTTTTCTTTTGGACAAAGGAAAGGTCATAAGGAACAATACCGCTCGCTAGGTAGTTTGCAATGTCTGCATACCATGGCGCTTCCTCAAGACTTGTGGCTAATAGTTGTTCATCTAGGAAATTTTCCAGGATCTCTTCTACCTCAACCTTCTTCTCAGCTCCTTCCAGTCTAGACAAATGATCAGCTACTTGGTTCTCCGTTCCCTTTCGGTCACGGATTTCCAAATCAAATTCTTGCAGCAGTAGCACCCATCGAATCAGGCGTGGTTTTGACTCCTTCTTCTCGATTAAGTACCTGAGAACAGCATGGTCAGTATAAACAATTACCTTCGAGCCTATCAGGTATGACCTGAATTTGTCAAATACGAACACCACTGCCAGCATTTCCTTCTCGGTCACAGTGTAATTTAGCTGGGCTCCACTCAGCGTTCTACTTGCGTAGTATATTGGATGCATGATTTTATCTTTTCGCTGCCCAAGAACTGCTCCCACAGCATAGTCACTCGCAACACACATCAGCTCAAATTGTTGCTCCCAGTCCGGGGCAACTATGATAGGTGATGTTACCATTCTCTTCTTAAATTCCTCAAACGCTACCCTGCAGTCATCAGAAAACACAAAAGGGTGATCTTTTTCAGGCAATTTACACAAGGGGTTAGCAATTTTGGAAATTTTTTTTATAAATCTCCTATAAAAATCGGCGTGCCCAAGGAAACTTCTGATTGCTTTGACGAAAGTGGGTGGTGGAAGCTTTTCTATCACATCAACCTTTGCATGATCTACCTCAATGCCTTTACTTGACACTAGGTGCCCCAATACGATACCTTCCTGTACCATGAAATGGCACTTTTCCCAGTTGAGTACCAGATTCGTCTCGATACACCTCTTCAATACTCTTCTCAAGTTCATAAGGCAATCATCGAATGAATTCCCCACCACTCAGAAATCATCCATGAAGACCTCCATTATCTCCTCTACCATATCCGTGAAGATGGCCGTCATGCACCTTTGGAATGTGGTGGGTGCGTTGCATAGGCCAAACAGCATTCTTCGAAAAGTATAGATTCCATAAGGGCAGGTGAACAATGTTTTCTCTCTGTCCTCCGGGGCAATAGAGATCTGATTATACCCCGAGTACCCATCCAGGAAGCAAAAGTGGGACCTTCCTACCAATCTATCCAGCATCTGATCAACGAATGGCAGTGGGAAATGGTATTTCCAAGTAGCCAAGTTTAACTTCCTGTAATCCATACAGATTCACCAACCTGTGACTGTTCGTGTAGAGATCAATTCGTTCTTCTCATTTTTCACTACTGTCAAACCTCCCTTTTTTTGGCACACACTGAACTGGGCTAACCCAGTTGCTGTCAGAGATGGGGAATATGATTACCGCATCAAACCACTTAATCATTTCTTTCTTCACCACTTCTTTCATGTTGGGGTTCAGCCTTCTTTGATGTTCTCTAGAAGGTTTGTGCCCATCTTCCAGTAGAATCTTATGCATACAGAAGGCCGGGATGATACCCTTAATGTCTGCAATGGTCCAACCAATTGCAGTCTTGCACTCCGTCAGTACCTGCAAAAGTTGTTCTGCCTGCACTTCTAACAAACTAGATGCGATAATAACCGGTAAAGTTGAGTTAGGTCCTAAGAAGGCATACCTGAGATGAGGTGGCAGTGGCTTCAGTTCCAACTTTAGTGGATCTTCTATCGATGGCTTAGCTGGAGGAGTTTTTCTTTCCTCTAAGTGCAAAGGCTCAAATTCGAGCTCCCTTCTCCAAAAACCTTGGCCTTCAAGAACAAGTACCCACTATGCCAAGTCTTCTCCATTGGCTTCATCTAAGTTCATGAGACATGCTACTAGGGGGTCTTTAGTGTTCAATGTCTCATCTTCCTCCTCCAAAATTACATCCACGACATCTATTAGAGAGCAATTAGCAAATTCACTTGGTCGCCACATAGATTTCTGCACGTTGAGTGTTATCTCTTCATCATTTAATCTCATTTTGAGCTCCCCAGTTTCACAGTCAATTAAAGCTCTCCCAGTGGCCTGATAACTAGGGATTTTGATGCATTTTATACTCCTTCTTGCTTACACTTTGATTATAAATTCATTCAAAATAGTCCCAAAAAGCTCATAAGTTGTGCTTGATTGCAGGTTTGATCAACAAAGTGACAAGATGTCAAAAATCGGCTCAAAAGGAGTGAAACTTGCACAAGTACCAAAGACAAGACAAAACTCAGGAGAAACAGGCCTAGTGCGGCCGCACCAGACTTTGTGCGATCGGCACTAGGGAGATTCAGAGAGTTGGATTTTCAGGCATCAAGGCAGTGCAGCCGCAGAGGGTTTTGTGCGGTCCGCACTGAAGGCACCGCGGCTGCACTACCATTCTGTGCGGTCCGCAGAACCAAAGTTCAGAGAGATGCCAAATTCAGAAGATGAAGCCTGTGCCGTCCGCAGTCCATTCTGCGTGGACCGCATTAGAAGCCTCCGCGGCCGCAGTCCATTCTGTGCGGTCCACGGAGCCTGGGTTCAGAGAGTCAAGATTTCAAGTCAAGAGCCCAGTGCGGCCGCACACCATTTTGTGCGGTCCGCACTGACCCCGCAGGGGCATTTTTGTCCAGTTTTTCCAGCTTAGTATAAATAGATTCTTTTTCCATTTTTAGGGTATCTGACGTTGTAATACAGTAGCTGCGCTCGTGAGAAGACTTTTCTTAGCCATTTTGGGCACTCTTACTTAGTTTTAATCGTTGAATCTTTGTATTTACATTAGTAATTAATTAATATGTCTTTCTCTTCATCTATTTCTCTGACTTTCTCTTCAAGCATGAGTAGCTAGACCCATTAGCTAGGGTTGTGGCTCAACCCTAGTGTGTGTAATTGATGGGTGTTGTGATTTTAGGTTAGATTGACTATGGGTGTTTGTTATTTGGGTCAATTTTATGGTTTAATTTATGAATTAGTGGTTGCAAACACCAGTTTGTGCTAAGTTGACTTGGGCTCTTCTTAATAAAGAGAACCTAAGTCTCCAAAATTGACTCAACAAGGAATTGGGATGGACTCAAGATATTTGATAGTCCCAATTAAAGGGTTAAACCTCGAGAGAGTAATACCCCACTTGAACCCTAGTTGCTTGAACAAATATGCATACCCAATTGGTCTTGAGAAAGTCAATTGGGCAAAATCACTCTTTCTACCGAGAGATGTAGAGTGGGTAGTATCGAGCAACGGTTATAACATATTCCCCAATCATGTCAGTCGTGCCTTGGATGCAAGTATCCGTCAATTGGCCACCTAGGTGAAAGTCACTACCCTAGTGCCTTTTAGACCATTAGATACAACTTGTAGCAATTTACTCTTAGTTTAATTTAGTTGCAATTATAATTTGTAGTTTTATCATAGTAGAATATAAAGAAAAACCAAAAATGAATAGAAGACCAATTAAGAGCACATACGCAATCCTAAACTAGATAGATACTCGATTCCAATCCTAGCTCTCTGTGGATTCGATCCCGACCCAAAATCGGGTAAAAGCTATTGCGACCCTCTCTTGCTACTTATTAGTAGTGCGGAGTTGGCAGCGATCAACCTCCTTTTTCTACCACCGGAAGGAGTATAGGGGAGTTTTTTCCAATTAAAGTGACAAAACCGAAACGGGATTATTTATATCAAATTCAGAGTCGCCACTTGGGATAATTTATGGTGTCCCAAGTCACCGGTTTAAAATCCCGAATCGAGGAAGTTTGACTCTGTTTTACAGTCCGCGAACACAGAAATCCGGGTAAGGAATTCTGTTAACCTGGGAGAAGGTGTTAGGCATTCCCAGTTTCCGTGGTTCTAACACGGTCGCTTAACTATTATTATTGGCCTAATTATCTGATTAAAAAACATCTTTGAAACCTATGTGCATTTTTATTCCTTTTAAACCGCTTTTAATAATTTATGGAATTATTCTGGAACAAGTTACGATTGTCGTACACTTGTTTGTTTGATACACATTGCGAATCATGTCACGGGAACTGTACCCACGATCTACAACATGTTTAATTCATTAACATTATTAGATTGTGGCCGGGTCACAAAAATGTACCCCCGAATTTTAGAGATTAGGCATCACAACTACGTCACATGAACCGTACCCGTAGCTATGACAATTATTTAATTAACGTTCCTAAAGCAAACTACGAAAGTTCAGGGGATTTTTCTACACTAGTTAAGATAATTAATATGAGGGCCATAGACTAGGTGATTGGATGGCACACATAAATTTTATTAAAGGGAAAAGCATTTAACTACGGATGTTCATATTTAAAACTAATTTGAAATTAAGTGTCACAACCACGCCATGGGAACCATATCCACAGTTGTGGTGATTTAATTACGTGCCTAAAGCAAGCTACGATGTTCATGAACTAACCAATTGGTTTGCTTACAGAATTGAGCCCACAACCTAATTCCATCTTTAAAAAACATGGAAAATTACCACAAACATGGAAAATTACCACAAAATGAACCCCATGACAAAACTTTCATATCAACAACATAGTTTGACAGACTCAGCAACAAGGATCCAAAAAAGCAGAAAAATCAGAATCTGGCCTAAAAATTGCAGCGACCAGATATGCCAACGGGAATGGAACCTCGAACAAAGCCTCGCGCCGGCGGAAGGAACAACGACATAACAGCAAATCGAGAGATGACAAATTGAATGAATCTGAGATGCTTAGACTCCAAAACGCTGGTTGATGTTGAAGAAGAAAAAGCTGAGGGGTCGTTGGTTTTGTTTTAAAGGCTGGAGATGGTTTTTGGAAGTGTTTTCCGGCGAGAGAAGAGTGCCGTTTTGGAGTTATTTTAGCCGGGTTTCATGGTATTTCCGGCGAGCTTCTGTCTTCAGGCAACTGTCGCGATTTGGGAGATGAGTGAGGCGGATGGAGGATGGTCGTTCGTGGACTGGTTTCCGGCAGCTATCGCGTGGTGGTCGTATGGCTGATGGGTGGTCGTTGGGTGGTGTGAACGGCGGGGATATCTTTGGTTTTTCGCTGGTTATGTTTGTTGAAGAAGATGAACTGATGGGGGGGGGGGGTCTGTGTGTACGGCTGCTGATCCTTCAGGTCTCTAGGGTCTTGGTCTCCTAGGGTTTTTATTTATTTTTTGTTCCTCCCCTTTTCTTTAGCTTTGTCTATGTATTTATGGGAAGGGGCTTAGGATTAAGGGGGATGGGCTATCCGAATTTGGGCTGAAAATTGGGCTAGATGAGTACTTAAATTCAAGAGAGACAAATCAATAAGCCCAAGCTTAATTCTTTCTATTTTCTAAGAAGTAAAAATCTATAAACTTACTAGTTAACCTTAGCTTATGTACCAAAATGGGGATAAAATTAGCAATTATTTTTTTTATTTTTTCAAAGATTATACTTAAAATAAGAATCCTATTAAAATAGTATGACTACAAAACATTAACGAAACTATTTTTGTAATTTTTATTTTTTGTGATAAAACAAAAATAAAAGAGTCAAAATTAGTTGAAATAACTATATTAGACCTAAACTAAGTATTTAAATGCTAAACTATCTAAAATCTTGGGGAGGGTCAAAAATTACATGTCTATAGTATTCTCTTTTACCTGAAAATTCCATTGATTCTTTTGCTGAGCTTGCAGATTCATTTATAAAAGCACATCGGGAGCTCAAAAGGTTGAAAAAAGGATGGAAGACATTTTCAAAATAAAACAAGGAGATACGGAGTTACTCAGGAAATTCGTAGACAGATTCCAGCGTGAAAGGATGATGCTGCCACGTGTACCTAACAATTGGGCGGCTATGGCATTTGCTAGTAATTTAAATGAAAAAAGCTCGGAAGCCACGAGAAGACTCAAAGAATGCTTACGAGAATTTCCTTCAACAACTTGGAAATGATGCTTACAACAGGTATAGCACGAAGCTGCGAATAGAAGAAGACACTATCATTCAATCTCGGAGAGATGAAAGGGTGAGTTCAAGGCGACCAGAAACTGAAAAAAGGTCCGGTAAGAACAAGTACGAACCTTATATGGGACCAGCAGGAAGGGATTCACGTTCGAAACAAGAAAACCCAAGGTATGATTCCAGATCAAAGGACAGAGATTTAGATTCATCGTCATGGTTCGGAAAGGAACGAAATATGCGAGATACGAGAGACAGCAACGGAAGTTCAAAGGCGAAAATTGGAGGATACAGTTTTAATGTTAGCACATCCGAGTTAGTAGCTGTTCTAAGAAGCATGGGAGATAAAGTGCGGTGGCCAAAAGAAATGAGATAGAACCCAAACATGAGAAACCCCGATTTTTTGTGCGAGTTACAAAACGATCACGGTCACAAAACAGCAGATTGCAGGCTACTGCAAGGTGAAGTAGAGCACCTATTAAAATTAGGTTACTTAACCGAATTGTTTAGTGAG